TCACTAGCTAAATTTAAAATTTACCCGGATTTCAATTTTGCCTACAACATATACATATGTATATATATATATGTTAGCGGCCAATGTTGGATTACGTCCAATCTGACATTGGCCTAGGCCAATCTAGAATTTCACATTGGACGCGTCCAATCTAGAATTCCACATTGGACGTATAATAAGTCAGGCCAATGCCAGATTGAAGAATTAGAATACGTCCAATCTCAGATTCGCCTGAAAATAGTAGGCGAATTTTAGATTGGCCTAGTCCAATGTAGAATTAAAACTAGCATACGGCCAATCTAAGATTCGCCTAGATCAATCTAAGATTCAGCTAGACCAATCTCACATAAGAAACTAAGTATACTATATTCAGTATGGAGGCATGATGTTTGTCTATGTAACTTGTCAAATAAAAAGTGGAAATGGAAAAAATAAATAAAATAAAGTTATTGTTTATATTAAAAAACAAAGAATTAAATCACAAATTGTTCACATTCCTTGTTTGTTCAACTTTGTACAATAGAATTATTTAAAACTTGATATTTTGTACATAATAATGAGCACCAATACGTTAACAAATATAATCATTGATGGACAAGATACGATTGTTAATAATACTGATGTTGTTATTGATGGTAATGAAAGTGATGACGCTTCAAACGAAGAAAAAAAATTCTATTCCAAGTTAAATATGTATAAAGAAAGTTTAAAATATCCCGAAAAGGTGATGATATCATTAGATTATTATCAGAAAATAATACAGTGTTTGAAACAACCTAAAAGTGGTAAAGCAATTGGTATTGATGCCAAATTTCATTTTTGGTGCAAGAAGTATTTTAAACTTGATATTACTTCAGGAATTGAAATATTATGTTCGATGAAGAATGGTCGTCGAATTGTTGTTATCGAATCATATTTTGCTGTTTTAAAAGATATTCATAAAAAAACTGGTCATGGTGCCCGTGATAAAATGCGTCACGAAATGAATGAACATTATTACTGGATGCCGACTCAAGTTATTGATATATTTTTACAATGTTGTACATCTTGTATAGTTAGAAAGTCTTTTAAATTACCTGTTACACCTTCAGCTATTATATCAGTTGGCTTCCTAACTCGTCTTCAAAGAGATCTCATTGATTTTCGTACACGACCCGATAAAGATTTTCAATGGATCCTTCATTGTCGTGATCATTACTCGAAATATTCTTGGGGCTATGCATTGATATCAAAAGAAGCTCAACGTATTGCTGATCATCTTTTAACATTATTCTATCAATTCCGACCTTGCAAAATTTTACAGTCAGACAACGGCCGTGAATTCACGGCCAGTGTCATTAAAAATCTTAAAAATTTTTGGCCAGAATTGATAATCATCAATGGAAGACCTCGACATCCCGAGAGTCAGGGGTTAGTCGAGAGAGGAAATGCAACTTTATGCCAAATATTAGGTAAGCTTATGGAAGATCGAAATACAACTTTTTGGACAACATGTCTTCTTCCCGCAATATATTCTATGAATACGAGCTTGGCCCGTGGTGTAAATATGACTCCATACGAAATAGTTTTTGGACAAAAACCTAGAGTCGATCATGAATTATGGAAATTAATAGAGGAGCAAGGTAAACAATATTTCTTTACTTTTCAAACTAAATGAAAATTATTTTGTATCTTTAGATATTGAATTTGAAGAAGATTTACCAGCTTCTATTCGTGAACGTCTTGCTGAGGATGGTACATCAGAACCATTTTCTTCAAATTCAACAAGTCCTGATAATGTTGATCAACAAGAAGCTCTTTCTTCAACTGTTATAACTGATTTTGCACAAAATTAAGTTCGCTTATCAATATCTCATGCAACATCAGAATCAACTGAACCACCACAAGCAGCTGAATCAACACAAGAACCTGAACCATCACAGGCAGCTCCACCAATACAAGAACCTGAGCCAACACAAGCAATTGATACATTAAATAATAATAATACTGAAACGAAACAGATTGCTGATGACATAACTTCAACCACTACTCGACATTCAGAGATTCGTAAACGAGCAACAAAAACATATTTGTCCAATGCAAATAAGAGAATTAAAATTCATGATGAATTAATAAAAGATTTGTCTTTGAAATGTTTGATCGGTGAATATGTTGGTATTAAAATCAATAAAGTTGATCGAACCAACACCGATCCAAAAATTGTACCTGCCGTTATTTTAGAAAAAAAAGATGATAAAATCAAAGTCGCATGTGAATTTGGCATTATTAACCAGTGGTGGTCTTTGGATTCTGTTGCTTTACTATCAACTGTACCAGAAAATTTAGTTAATTTACAAACAAATGAATTAAAAGAAATATCTTTTATAACTGCTTCAAGACTATTTGTTCGTGGTGGTATTAATGGAGTTACTTGTTCATGTAAAGGTGGTTGTAAGACAAAACAATGTCCATGTCGAAAAAAAAACATACCTTGTTCGACAAAATGTCACAAAAACGGTGTTCGTTGTGTGAATTTAGAATTAGATGATAAAATATGAAATATATTAATAGTTTCTTTCAACTTTATATATCTTTCTCTACTATTTGTTTATAACTAGGCTTTGTTTTTTTGCTCAAAATAAAATTCCATTCACTATGATTCACTTTTTTGTTGGATTATACTTAGTTTCTTATGTGAGATTGGTCTAGCTGAATCTTAGATTGGCCGTATGCTAGTTTTAATTCTACATTGGACTAGGCCAATCTAAGATTCACCTACTATTTTCAGGCGAATCTGAGATTGGACGTATTCTAATTCTTCAATCTGACATTGGCCTGACTTATTATACGTCCAAAGTGGAATTCCAGATTGGACGCGTCCAATGTGAGATTCTAGATTGGCCTAGGCCAATCTCAGATTGGACGTAATCCAACATTGGCCGCTAACATATATATATATCGCAAATAGCGTTCAAAGCTGAAATTAAAACTCAAATATAAGAAAATATTGAGTTTACATAATACTTGAATGATTTTATGAAATCATTCAAATATAATATTATCGAATGCTTGATTTGTTTTCAATGCTTTCCTATTCGACAACAAAACAAAAAAATGATTACGGACTAAATTTTTTTTCTTCTATATTAAAACCTACTTTGTGTTTATCAGAGATGAGCACAGGACAACTTTTTTTGTCCTGTCCTGTTACTCACCTCTGTCCTGGCGGGCGAAAGAACAGGACGAAAATTAGGATTCCGTCCTATTCTGTTTTCGTCCTGTACTTATCTCTAGCGTTTATCCAATGTTTTCGTTGCAAGGAGATGAACTTGATCAAGTGCCAAATTCATTAGAGGATAATCTTTCCCCACAATCTTTACCGTAACTGATAAAAATTGCCGATTTTGCTTTACTGAAAAGCCAGTTAACATTGACAACTGCTTCATCATCATCTAACACAGTCATTAAACGGTTGCTGGTGTAAAATTGGAATATAAAAAAAATGAATGCTCGTTCCCGCTGTCCCGAGTTCTATAATTATCTTTTTAATGACCTACATCTATTGAAGCGAAATTGCTCATCACAAAAGTATAGCTAATAATTTATTATTTAAATATATGTATGTTGTTTTGGTTGGAATTGATTTTCATATAAAGTTCATTTTATATTTTACTGCTATATTTTAATGAATGACTTTAAAATGACTAATAATATAGCGCACACCATATTATCTTTATGTTACTTTGAGAAAAATCTTAATCTTCGGTCAATAGAACATAATAAGCACTTAAATGAATATTTTTTGAGAAAAGAGTGCCAAATAGTTTCTTGATTTAAATAAAAAATCTCCCGGTAAACTCCTGATCTTTTGCTAAAGCTTTAATATTTTAAATTTGAAGTTGGTAACTCTGTTAAAAAACTTATAAAATATTGCAGAGATTAAGGATCTTCAAAGTTGCGTTTTTCTTTAGTCTTAGTTTTGTTTTCAAAATCTATTCATATTTGTATACTCTTTGTAGTTCTTTGAATACATGTGAAATCTACATGAATAATATTACTTCGATAATAGTATCAGAATGAAAGAACAAATATAAAAAGAAATCAATGCCTAAAGCATAGATCTCGGTTTTACTACGAGTCGACTTGGGCCAATCTTGTACAGCATAGCAGAGACC